AACATCACATCAGTTGGAGCATGTGGAGGAGTAGGATGTCTACTTCATGATGTACAGAAAGAGTGTGGGGGGGGCGACAAGATACAGCCCCCAAGGACATGCCCCCAGTAATCTAATTCGTCCATCTAAGCTTCACCTTCTAAAGTTTTCATAGCTTTCAAAAATAACACTGTCAACTGCAGACCAATGCTAAGTTTTTGGGGGAGAAAACTTCCTATACAAAACATAACATTTTCTCCTGGCCCCCAAAAGACTCATTTCCATCTCATAAAGCAAAATGCATTGATTCAATTTTCAAGAGTTCCCATAGTCTTAACAGTTCTAGCATTGTTCAAAAGTTCAAGTTCAAAGTCTCCTCTGAGACTCAAGGCAAACTCTTAGCTGTGAGTCCCTGTAAAATAAAAAACAAGTTTCATACTCCCAAGATACAGTGGCACAGAGAAAATATTCCATTCCAAAAAAGAGGAATGGAAGAATAGAAAAGAGGGAGGAGACCAAAGCAAGACAGAAACTCAGTGTGGCAAACATGAAATCTTGTAACTCCATGTCCAGCTCCAAGGGCACGAGTTGAGTTCCAAAAGGCTTGGGTATCCCTGCCCCTATAGCCTTGCTGTTTGCAGCCCACATGGCCTGTCTCCTGGGCTTGTCTTATCACTGCCTGTGGCTTTCCTTTGCAAATGTTCCACATAGCTGTATCTCCAACTTCCTGGGGTCTCCATTGCATCTTCAGCTTCACTCTTACACCTTCATGCATTGTTCTCTTAGAGCTGCCTGTAGGAATACTGACCCTGAAACACATTGGTTGGTCTCCCAGGCTTTCCTTTGAAATGTTGGTAGAAGCTTCCATGGTCCTGCAACTCTTGCATTCTGCATCCCTGCAAAACCAGCATAAAGCAGACAATGCCAAGGTCTTCTACTAGCTCAAGTGGTAGCTGGGCCCCTTTGGACAAGACTGCAGTGCCCTCTGCATGCCTGGGTGTGCAACATGGGGAATCACTTCCCTAGGTGACTCTATTTGAGTAGGGTACCCTGGAATTCTCGTCTCAAAGCAAAGCATTTAAGTAAGCTAAAACCTTTAACACCCCTTAGGTGGATAGAGTCTGGACAATTCCTGAGATGCCCTTGAGGTATCTTTCCTACCGTTCTGATGCAAAGTACTTGGCTTCCTTCTAATGGTGCTAATTTCTTCATAAACCATGCCTTCCTTAGTCTCAACTTCACACAGATTTTTCTGGCCAAAGAGCAATTCTTTCAAATCATTTTTTCTCTGCTTCTTTCCCCCAGTTCTCACTATAAACCTGGAAATAACTATGCCACAGCTTGAATCCTGGGCTGCCTTGTAACTTCCTTCACCAGATTAATTAGTTCATCAACTTTAAACAGCCTCCCACAAAGTCTCAGGACACAGACAAAAACTTTGAGAATTTCTTTGCCAAAGTATAATACATAATGTTCTCTAGTCCAGTTCCCAATAGAATACTTCTTCCCATCAAAACCTCATGAGCAGTCTTTACTGTCTAATTCCTATAGGCATTCTGGTTTTGTGGGCTCTTACCAGAATCACCACACTTAAAGCATTCTACTCTTTCTTTGGTCCATATCTTCTAACTTTTCCAAATTCCACCTGCAGACAGATTCTAAGGACTCATGAGCCACGTGGTCAAGCTAACTCACAGCAGTGGCCAGACTCCTCTAGTACCAATTTTCTGTATTAGTTCCAAGGAATTTTGTGGCTGTGACAAAATTCCTGTCATAAATGACTTGAGGCAGGGAGGATTTATTTTGGCTCAAGGTTTCAGAAATTCCAGTCTATGGTCAGTTGGCTTCATTACTTTGGGCTGAGATAAGGCTGAATATCATGGTGGTAGGAATGTGTGGATAAAGAAGGTATTTGCTTCATGGTGGATAAGAAGCAAACAGGGTTGACAAGATACAGCCTCTAAGTCATCTCCCCAGTGATCTAGGCTAGGATCCACTTTGTAAGGTTTCCAGAGCCTCTAAAAATAGCACCATTAGCTGGGGACCAGGTCTTTAGTACATGATCCTTTTTTGGGGGACACTTCATATCCAACCATGACAAGTGATGATGATGATAATAGACCTTTGACAACTTTATTTTTTTCAGATATTTAGTCAAAGGAAACCATTTTTCAAATTTAATTGCATGTATATCTTTTAACTTCTTTTTTAGCTTTGCTTGCTTTTTCATTTTAATGTATTATTCATATATTTGTAACTTTTCCTCATTTAGGCTAGCTATTGATTTCTCTAGTTCATTGTTTATTTTAAATCATCAGCTGTTTCATTAATTTTTTACCTTCTTTTTAATTTATTCTGCTTATATTTATTTTGTTAACTTTTGGACCTGATATTTAATGAATTTATTTTAATTGTTTTGTACTTATCAAAATAACTTTTAAACATTTTGCATTTAACTCAGAGCAATTTTCATCAGGGGCAATGGATATGTGATATTTTCATGATCTTTGGTCTCTAAATATTCTGCAGTTTCTCAAGGGTCATTTGAGAGAAACAGATTTAAACATTTTTAGTCATTAGGTCTTTTTCTTTGTTTTTTTTTTCCTAAGGCTACTCATGTTATCATTTATTGCATGGTGTTGAGTGAATGCTTTCTGCTGGTATTTTGTGGAGGTTTGTAATTGTGATTATTATATATGCCAAATGTTTGCAAATTAACCTAGACATTTCTAAGTTTAAATTTTGTTTTTAGAGTGTGGAATCTGATTGTTTCAATCAGGCCCCTGCTATTAATTAAGGTACTTTGTAAATGATAAAATAAAATAAAATAATAAAAAAATTAAGCTACATTGTTTTCTTCTTTATGCTTATGATCTTAATTATCCTTCTATTTAGTTATAATCATAATTATTCTTCTATTTAGTAATGTCACAATAGGGGAGAGGTGAAGTAAAATGTAATACTACCAATGTGCTTTTATATTACTCTTTCATTTTTGTAAATTTTGTTAACTATCTTGAGGTTATATTCTTAGTGGGCTGATATTCAAAATGTCAAATTTTAGTGTGGCTTATTATATCTATCATTACACAGCTTCCATGTTAAACTGTGTTCAGTCCCAAATGATAAAGTTAAAGTCCTAATGCCCACAACACAGATTATGGCCTTGTTTGGAACTGGGGTTTTTGCAGATGGACCCAACTGAGTGGGATCACAAGGTTGGGCTCTTATCCAATGTGATTGGTTACCTTATACAAGGTGGAAAAATTGAACACATGAATTTTAAAATGTGATCAGATCACATCAAATCATGCTTTAAGATCACCCCCTCCATAGCGTCCCCTTGCCTTAGAATGAAATGATTCCATTTGAGTAGTTTAGCTCCTTCCTATAAAACACAAGCCTTGTACTGCCCCGGTCTTTCCTCAAACCTCATTCTTTCCCACGAGGGAAAGGCTCTAGCACGTGAGCCTTCTTTTGCATTTTTCAAGATGTCAAGAGTATTTACCTAGCGTGTAGTTGGCAAAAAAAAAAAATCTTTGTTTCCTTCTTTACTTGTGTAAAGAAGCAAAGCTTTCATTCTAGCCAGTTATGTTGGCTAGAAATACAGAAAGAAGGATGTCCGTAGCCATATCATTCTCTTCTAGCTTTTTAATAAACGCTTGCTTGAGATCCCTAAGAATATCTCAGTTATGTCTTTCAGCAGTGTATTTAATTTAACCTTTATTCCTTCTCCTCTGATGGTCCAACTAGATTATAGTTATCTGTAGCTTGAGAAACATTTTTGCCACCATTAAAATACGTTTTTCTGGAATACTATTAATGATCATTTCTTCCTTATGCACTACCCACATGCAGTGCTCTGTGGTGAATGTTACAAGCTACCTCTGCCTCACCCCAGTGAGCTGTAATATGTTATTCCCAACGTTATTCTTACACAGTCAAATATTGCTTGAACATCTGAAGAGATCCTAACCAAGACTTACCAAGATATCCTTGATATAATCAAGAGGATCACAAAATTCTCTGCAACATGTCAGACCTACAGGGATTTCAGTAAAAGAGACTAACACTTTAGAAGACAGAAAAGAATCAGCATTCTCTACTTTTTTGCAGCTTTTATGAAAGCAATTTTACTTACATTCTTCCAAGTCATCTTTAGCAATGGATTCTAACTGAATTAAACAACATCAACTAGAAAAGAGCCATGTTTTTGCTAAAAAGCAGAGAATAATCGTTAGCTCACATGAAATTTATTTCCACCATATCACCATCTGAGGGCAGCATATCCCAAATTACAGATTCCATTTTGTTGTTTTAAATCAAATTATACTCCGGAATGATGATCAGTGCAATATTCATAGGGCATCCATTTTCAGGCAATGGAAAACAATCATTTCCATGATAATCCATTCTCACTGGAGCTCACAGTGCACACATTTTAATAACGGTACTCAATGGATATTGTAGAAGTCAGAGAAGGGGCTCTTAAGCTTATACGCAGGTAAGGGAAGATTCTCTGGGGAGATGGTATCAGAATTAAGTTTTAATATGGTCAATTTACTGATACTACAACAAGAAGTAAAGCAATAAATACCATAAAGGGTTAAAAAAGGTTAACTTGTGTAATAAAGAGGAGAAAAACTAGTCTACTAGAATTAAAGGAAGGGAAAGTAATGTACATTTTAGGCCAGATTACTAAACATTTTTTTTAGCATTTATACTCCAGACATCCATCACATATAAAACAAAATACACATAACCTTTGTCCCAATAAAGCTTTCCTTCTAGGAGAGACTGACAAGAAATATAAAACTTAATGCCCAATAATTATATCCACTTTAGAGAAAAACTAAGCAGAATGATGGATAGAGAGCCACAGACACAGGAGTTGGGGATGGGAAGCAGGTAAGACCACCAGGGAAGAGCAGATGCTTCCTTGGATGATAAAATTACATACACTGACTGGTCATGCTTATGGCTAAAGTTCATTAGCAAAAGAACAATGAAAGTGTACTTACCAACACTTGCCCCACTAAGGTCTGTGCAGAAAGCAACATGTCTATACGATTATGAAATGCTCCGTGTCCATAAAAATGAAATCTTTTTAATTGGACAGTCTGTGCTACGAATAGTTTCTAAAAGCAAGAGAAAGGAATTGATAGAGTGATTTGTATCTCAGAGAGAGCAACTTTTTTTTTTATGTTGATGGAGGTTCTTGCATGGTATCAGCCAGAAATCATTCTGCCTAGCCCAACCCAGCAGACATGAAGATGCTTATCCATATCTCCATTTATCCAAATTCTCATGAATTTTCCTGGATTTACACTGCTCTGATTTTTCTTTGTAAATTTTTCTTTCTGGACTCTGTGACCTTCATTCATGCCTTTCTTGCCTATTCTCAGTCTCAGACCCTTCAAACTAACATCGTTTTTAATGGTCAGGACTGAGGCAGTATATATTTTTTCAGCTGTGGGAATAAGTGTTTTAACAATTTTCCATCAAGATAGAGACAAAATAAAAACAGGTTACAAATTGATTTTTAGGTGACAACTATGTCCTCACATTTTTATAATCACATGAAAATGAATATAAAGAAGAAGAAATATTTCCAGGAGCAAAAGACTAAGGAGATTTAAAAATTCTACAAATTCTGTTGAACATTGAAATAAAGAGAGGTAGGCATTTGGGGGCAGACACCATACCAATTAGTTCGTAAGTCAAGAGCTTAGAATTTTCCCCCCCGTTTTTACACTACTACTTAAAGCCTTCAAAGTAGAAATAATTATCCATACAGTGAGCTCACTCAGCAACAAAACCTATGAGCATCAGTCCTGGATACTTTTCAAATACAGAAATCTAAATTCTATATTACCAATAACCTTAAAATTTTACCAAGTTATTATAAATTATTTTAAGTCACTTTAATGTTAACAAAAATGTTTTAAGCACATTTTCCATATTAATTATTGTACACAGGTAGACTTTTAATGTTCTGTTATGGAAAATTGCTATAATCTATCCAAGAAAGAAGCACAAATTTTGGGAATTAAAATTGAAAACAAACACACAGGGCATGATAAAACTCTTAGCCTTTCACCTCTGGGAGTAGAACAGTCATTATGTAGCATTTAAGAGATTTATTTCAAACTCGTAAGCAATGCTCTATCTGAGGAAGGTGTCACTTATTTCATTATCGTCACTTGACAGCTTTGTTAAATGACATCAACCCTTGCAAAGCTGGTTTGGGTGTAAAAAGAGCCTTTGCATTTGTGGCTAGTTGACATGTGCTGTGTTCACATAGTACACAAAAGCCAGCATGAAGGATGTGCAAGGTGAACTTGCCATGGATATCTTGTTCCTTTTTTACCTCCCTTAGAGTACCTAGCACAGCTTTCTTTTTAAGATTCAAATTAGAAGCATAGCCAGGTGCCAGTGATTCATGCCTGTAATCCTAGCTACTTGGGAGATTGAGATCTGGAGGATTGTGGTTCAAGGTCAATCAGGACAAACAGTTTGTGAGACACCCCCCCCATCTCCAAAATAACCAGAGAAAAATGGACTGGAGGTGTGACTCAAGCAAAAAAGGGCCTGCTTTGCAAGTGTGAAGCCCTGACTTCCAAATTCCAGTCACCGCCCCCCCCAACAAAAAAATAGAGGTATGGATAATGTTTATGGAGTTTTTTTTAGAACAGTGACCTTGGTTTCCAGAGCTGACATTCATCATCATCATCCACATATGACCTTTTTCTCGGTGGTGGGAGAGAGAAGGCCTGTCCCTACAAGCTTAAGACTGATGATCTTGGGTCCTGTTTCCCTACCTTTCTGAGGCACCAGATTCAAGTTAGCTCTGTTAGCCTGTAAAATCAAGTGAAACCCCAACTACATGGCATCCTAATCTTTATACAAAGGGAACCCAAATAAGGAAACTGACCCAGAAAATTCCTGTTTTCTTGTTTTGCCATTTTTTTATGACTTTGCCTAATAGTCTGAAAATGAATAAGATGACAAGTCCGCTGATGAAGGTCACTAGTGAGGCGAGAATAAATGCTGCTTGGATCTCAATTGTGCAGGACATTTTCCCAAATTCTTCTCTATTCTCTTCTTGTGGCTTACTTCAAGGCATCAGGAGACAGAACTGTCACGATATTCTATGATGTCATGATTGCATAGCAACAGTTTCAGAAAGTAGAGTTCATTGTATTACAGCATCCTAATCCTGAATGTGAAAACCAATGAGGAGTTCCAGGAAGGAGGGACTGCTAACCTCCCCAGTGCTGAATCTCAGGTTGCAAATGAATCTCCAGCTTATAGGGCTATCCCCATGGGCAGTCAGAAGACAAGAATTCTAGATCTGATCATTACTTTCTCTGTGAACTTGAAGAAGCCAGATTCTCTGAGGCTGTGGTCAACTAGCTACCTACCTGTTTGGCTTGTTTAGTTCAACAACTTCAAGATAATTTGTTTTGGATGAAACACATCCAACCAGTCTGATAGCTGATCCTATACTTTATAGGTTATCACATTCTCAATAATCTTGGAAGAAGAAAGAAATACTTAAAGACTTTTGTTTACCTTTTTTATTTTTTGAAAGGTTGTAGAATTGTAGGATGAATTAGTCTAAAAATCTAATGTATGACATGGAGACTATTTAGTAGTGGTGTAAAATTTTTGGATTTTTTTGTTGAAACAGTAGAGTCTAGGTGGTCTGGCCACACACACACACACACACACACACACACACACACACACAAGTAAATATGTGGGATGATAGAGAAGTTAATTTGTTTTAACTATAGCAGCCATTTCAGTTATAGATGAATATGTGAAAACATTGTGTTATTCTCCTTAAATATCTGTAGTTTTAAAAAGCAAGGATATCTTGAATATCATCTATCTATCATTTATCTATCTACCAATCATCTATCTGCGCATGCAGGTGTCATAGTAATTGGTTTTACTGGTGTAATTATTGATTGATTATGATGTGAGACCATCCATCTGATCTCCCTGTCTATTCTTTATAGTACCTTCCCCTTTCTTGCTTTAATCCCTGCCCTGTCCCTTTGGTCCAACAGAGGCAAAGTTCAGAATGAGAGAAATTCCTTTTACTCTCTCTGATGTTTTCAAAGGTATAAGAAATGTCATGCCTTACAGTGTGTATGAGTGACAGGAAAAATGACAGAGCAACATGTCACCCCAGATTCTGTGAGATGACCTGACATGTGGTGACAAGAGCCAGGGGAAGCATGTGGAGCTTGGGAACCCACCATGACTGCTCCGTGTGGCAGACCATTCTCAGAAGATGATTGGAACAGTTCCCGGAAAGACTGCCACATCTGTCTTTCCTTCCTTTAAACTTCCCTACTATTTCCACACAACCTTGTCATAGATCTAGGACAGTATCATCGTGACCTTTGGTCTAAGTGTTAGGAGCTCTGAGCTCTAGCCGTGTCCTTCTATTGAGTTGCTATGTGATATCTTACAAGTTATTTTAATTTTCATAGTCTACCTGCTTGGTAGAATTGTTCTATAAGATAATGTGAACATAGTTTAAGCATAAAACAATAAACAAGAAAAGATGCCATTAGCCATTTCATTTATTTTTCTGAATGGCATTGATTATAAAAAATGGGGAAGGGAGAGAGGGAAGGAAAATGACAGGAAGGATACGTATACAGAGGCTCAGTGGCAGGTTTAAATCTGACAACTTTTCTCAGTTGCTGAGCTTTTTGTCGTGGTGGAATTGTGTCTAGTGAAGAACTACCATTCATAGCTTGGTAGCAATTCAGTGTTTAGAATTTGGGAAGTAGATAATCCTGAAGCAGTATTACCCTTCACAATTAACTAAAAATCACTCTGTATGTGATCAGCTAATTTTTTTAAAAAATAGTTTTTTCTGACTACTTACTACAAGCCAGAATTCTTTGTTAAATATGTGTGTGTGTCAGGGTGAGGGGAGGTCATTGGCATGTGTGTTCCAGCTTAAGATTTGAAAAGTAAGTAAATAAACAACAGCTTTATCCTAAGAACAAGAGGAAATATTTGAAGGGCTTTAAAGAAAGAGTATGTGATTGAATTTCAGTTGTCAAAGGGCTCCCCTGGCTCTTCCCGTAGAAAGGAATTAGTCTAGAATGAAGTGAGGGGAATCCTGGGGAGATGGGCAGGTAGGAGCCATGTCTGGGAAGAAAGGGCCCCATGGGAACAGATGACCAGCAGGTATAAAGTTGACCCTGGGTTTCTGAGTGGTTGCTGGATCTCTTCACTGGCAGACCTTGAAAATGAAATCTAAGAGTTGGAAGACTGCTACTCAAACATTTTTTTAAAAGTTCAGATGAATTTTTTTTTCAACATCAGTGATTTAATTAGAAAAACTGCTTCACTTTGTACACATTTTTACAATTTATTTCTGGGCACTCAAATATTCTGGAAAATTATACTTTATAATGGAGTGGAATAAATGTTTAATTAAAAAAAGTTTACTGTTCTTGGGAAACATGCCATATCTGAGAGAGGAAAGTATTTCATTTTTAAGTGTGTGTATGTGTGCATTTTTGCAGTGCTTTTGAAAGTAATAGATTATATTGTAATTTTGCCTTTTAAGAGGTTAAATCCATTCATTCCTCTTACTTCTATAATCTTAATTTTTCTATTTCTATAAGTGGACGCTTATTTCATATCCCCGAAGAACACCCACAGCAGTGCTTAAACACCAGTTAAGAAATACAAGACCCCAAATCACACAATAGTCAGTGACAGAATCCGGGCCAAAGTCAAGGCTGAAGACAGCTATAGCTCCAGAGCCCTGGACTCTTGGGGAGAGGGCAATAAGCAGGCTGTTTCTGGAGTAAGCATCTCTAATAGGTGGAATGTGTGTATCAGTTCAGATGTTTCTTACAAGTTAGAGCTTCAGCTTCTCAAGATCTGTACATGGTACTGTTTATTCACTAAGTTTTAACTTTATGCCACCTTAGTATTTTTCTTTTTTGAGGGGAGGGGTGCCAAGGATGGAACCCAGGGTTTCATGCATGCTAGGCAAGCACTCTTACCACTAAGCCACACTCCTGTAGGATTCCATTTTTGCTCTCACCCCTCTCTTTAATTTTCATCAGTAGAGGTGAGAATATAGTACTTTTAGAGAAAGCTTGCTTTTAAGGGAATGTAATCTAACCCTTATTTATTCAGATACTCCATCTCTGAGTCCACAGCCTCTTTCCCTATGTGATCTGATTAGAAATATGCTAGTTAGTTTGCCAGAGAGATTTCTCTTCTGCTCTCTTTCCCAGTCTTGCATTGATCAATTTTTCTAACTATTTGCCTTTGCAGTATTACAGAGCAAACTTCATGTGTGTGTCCATTCGTATGTCAAATGCATGGACGTATTGTTTGGGTGAATTGCTAAATGGAAAGTGAAGATTTTCTTCAATCACCTTACTGTTTTGATTTGTAATGCCCAATTATTGTGTGGGGGGTAGTCTGCATAAACTGTGGTACAAATGTAACAACACAAGTGAGGTCTAAGTCTTCTTCATTTGGCCAGTAGATGGAAGTATTTCATAGGGAATTAGCAAGTGGCTTTTTTTGTTGTTGTTATTTATTTTCAGTTTATATAGTTCTTTTATAAAGAAGACAGAGGAACCCACCTGGAGAGCAGAAGTGAAAAAACAGAAAGTAAGAGATGAGGAGAGGGACACCCAGTTCTTAACATACAGGGTGTCCTGGTTCTTTCAACCCCATCTCAAACCTATTTTCTGTTCAGTCTCTGTTTATCTTCTGAGATTCTGTTTTTTTTGAAAGAACAGAAGGATAAATTAAACTGTTGATAGCTGGAGTTCTTTTTTTAAAAATACAATCTCTATGGATTCTTGAGAGTCCTAAAAATCCTTTCATGAGAATGAATAATGCAATCAGGCACTTTGGCAATCAGGCCAGCTGAACACCATGCTGGTGATTTTATCAGGATGCCTAATGCCCACCAGCAGGAGTGGGGTGAGGGAGCTGGTGACCCAGGCTCACTGTTGACACTGCTTACCAGCGCTCTGGCCTTGGTTCCAGCTTTGTGATTCTTATGCCGTCCTTTGCACAGCTCTCTACTTCTCCTGTTAGGAATTACTGGCCCACCAGTGAAAGGCCACAGGGAGTCACCAAGCATCATCCCAGTGGCTGGTTGCATTATTCCTTGTATTATGGGTGCTGCTTAAGTCTGTTCCAAAATCCTAGTGACAACAATCTGCATTTGTTTGAGTCACAACAGGAAGCTTAGATGAAAAAATAGTTGTCACCAACAGCATAGGAGACGAAAGCCACATTTTCTGTATCAGCCCCCATTGAGCTGGCTGCTCATGCAGACACTCCTCCCCAAGGACCCTGTCTCCTCACAAGCTTTGGCAGGACATGAAAAGATTGGTCCTTAGCTCCATCTTTGCTTTGGGAACAGCACGGCAGTTTTCCAATTATCTCATGTGAGAAAGGAAAACATCAGAGATACAAAGTAACTTTCCAAAAATAAATTTTATTTTAATCTAAACATTTTAAAGAAAAGTCAATAATATAAGGTGCATGCATACGGCAAATGAAAAGCCTTGAAATTGCTTACCATCATCTAAGATAGAGCTTTGTTTATTTTCCCATCAAAAGGTAATGCTGCCCTTTTTATTGGTATTTCTGACTTTCTTCATCAGTACTGTGATTTTAATTGCCTTTGTATAAAAGCTGCCTTTATGTGAAATGCCTTTGATGTAGAGCTTTTTGCATTAATACATTTAATTTCTTTCTTCAGCATGTCCTTGATGAAAAGGTCTTCGGAATATAATATGCAAAAGTTGTGGAGATAAATATTGGGGTACAAAAATCATCAAGCATTAAATGTGTTTAGACCCTAGTTCTACTAATTTCTTTTTAAAAGGGGGAAGCTGACACTCAGGCAGACAAATTTGCTTCTCAGTCTGTGGAAGCAGATTGGAGCTCCTCCAATCCATCCAAACACATAGTATTTTGGAGGGGAGGAAAAAAGAAAGAAACGCTGTGATGGTGAGTTGTCATCAAGGACTGATGGTAAGCTTATTTGGTAAAATCTTTGAGCCGCCCACATGCTTTAAAAAAGCTTCTAATCTCA